GCTGCCGGTCCTCAACGCCCCCTCTGGGTACCCCTGCCAGGGACAGCGTCATCATCAGCATCACTAACTGCGCCACCAGCGTCTATGCTGGCTTTGTCATCTTCTCCATCCTCGGCTTCATGGCCAAGCACCTGGGTGTGGACGTGTCCCGCGTGGCCGACCATGGCCCTGGCCTGGCCTTCGTGGCTTACCCCGAGGCCCTCACGCTGCTGCCCATCTCCCCGGTCTGGTCACTGCTCTTCTTCTTCATGCTCATCCTGTTGGGACTGGGCACTCAGGTACGGGCTGCAGCACACGCGCCAGAGGCTGGGGGCGGCGGGGCCGGGCGGGAGGAGGCAGGGTGGGGAGAGTTAGGCCCCTGCTTGACGCCGTATCCCGCAGTTCTGCCTCCTGGAGACTCTGGTCACGGCCATTGTGGATGAGGTGGGGAACGAGTGGATCCTGCAGAGGAAGACCTATGTGACCCTGGGCGTGGCTGTCGCCGGCTTCCTGTTGGGCATCCCCCTCACCAGCCAGGTAAGAATAAGGAAAAGGCTGGGCTGGAGTTTCCAGGGTAGGTGGGGATAATGGGGAGGGGACCCCAGCCTCAGCACCCCCCTAACTTAGCCACCCGCTGGCCCGTAGGCAGGCATCTACTGGCTGCTGCTGATGGACAACTACGCGGCCAGCTTCTCCTTGGTCATCATCTCCTGCATCATGTGTGTGTCCATCATGTACATCTACGGTGAGTGCCCGAGCCCCCGGCCTCCGCGTCCCACCCCCCGCCTGCTCCCCCGGCCTGCTCCCCCTGGCCTGCGGGCCCACTGACCTCCCCTGTCTCCAGGGCACCGGAACTACTTCCAGGACATTCAGATGATGCTGGGATTCCCTCCGCCCCTCTTCTTCCAGATCTGCTGGCGCTTTGTCTCTCCAGCGATCATCTTCGTGAGTTCCTAGGCGGGCCCTTCCCTTCCCCGGCTGCCCCTTGTCAAGTGTCCTTCTCTTGAGAACCAGCAGAGGACGAGCCCCTGCCCCCCAATCCAGCTGGCAGGGCTGCTCCTGCTGAGGAAGGGGAGCGCTGGCGGGCAGCGGCTGACCGTGTCCCTGCCTCCCTGGCTTCCCTGCCTTGATCCCCAGAGGGGCCTCAGGAGCATCCATCTCCAATCCCTCACAGCCCGGTGCTCTGGGTGGCTGAGGTACATGGTGTGTGGGCATTCCAGAAATAGTTTGCAAGTCAGATGTCAGTTCAGGATAATGGGTAACTTTGTAGCCCTTCCAGGTATGGGAGTGGGGTGGGGACAGGGAGATTTGGTTTTCACACTACTCCACCCCAGGGAAATGTCCATGAGGGGGCTGAGCCCGTGGAGGTAATGCCTGCCATGGCAAGGAACCAGGTGCTTTCTGCTCGCTGCCATAGGTCAGCTCCCATACTACAGTTCTCCAAGGTATCATTATTCCCCGCTATCCAGAGGAGGAAACTGAGGCACAGAGCTGTTAGGTAACTGACCTGCATAGCTAGCGAGAAGCAGAGCACCATTCAGAATACTAGTCCAATCTGCAGGCTGTGTCCAGCCAGCGCTGCCACAGAAGCCGCCACCGGAGAGAGGGATGGTCCGCGGGCTAAAGCCCATCTGATTTGGCTCCTTTATGCTGAGGGAGGGAAGGTACACAAGACATTGAATGGTGTTGTGGTCACACCCCAGAGAAGCAGCAGGACCACCTCGAGGTAGAGGGGCCACTTGCAGGGCAGCAGGGCAATGTGGAGTCGCTCCTCTCATGCCCAGGGCCTCTGGCCACGGGGAGTTCAGCACCGGATTTCCACTTTGGCTCATGTTCCTGGAAAAAAAAAAAAAGGCCCCTGAGGGCTGAGGCCTGCACCACATGGGGTGTGGGATCTTCCCCGAGCCTGGCACGGGCACTACCTCTGGCCACTGGCCCAGCCTTGAAACAGGAGGAGCGGAAGTCTCCTGTAAGTGGTGGGAGGCCGGGGAGGGAAGGTGCTCTGCCAAGTGCTGTGCCCCCTGGGGGTGTTGCTGAGCCCCAACTCCCCACCCCCAGAAGAGTCAGTCTCCACAGCTCCCAGGAGAGACCTGGGCACTAGCCACATAGGGCAAGAGTCAGGAAGGAGGGGCACAGGAGGGGGCTGTGGGAAGAGCCCCAGCCTCGGTCCCATATCTGTGGGAGATTTGAGGCAAAGTGGGCAGTTTTCCTCTCTGTGCTCAGAAAACCAGCTAGAGTTACTACAAGGTGTGGACTCGGGCTCTGTGGACACAGGCTTCTAAGCTGTCGTGTTTACTTTGGAGGCTTTACCTCTTTATATTTCTGAAAAGATCTTTTGACAAACTCCATCTTTTTGCCAGCTCAAGTTAATGACTTGTCCACACCTAGACCAGGATCTAATTCCATTCAGGAAACCTGTTACAAAAGCTTACTATGTGCAGCATCACAGGAGGAGCCCCTGATGGATGTGGGTCTTGTCCCCAAGAATTTGGCCCCTGGGAAGGCTGGAGCGGCTGCGCTCTGGAGCAGCTGAGGCCTTAGGAGGCAGGTGTGGAGCCCTCCTGGCCAGCCGCAGTGCACACCCAGCACCTCCAGCACCCCCCAGCCCACCAGGTGGCCAATGAGACACCGGCCCATCTCTCTGTTTCCTTTACTTTTTTTGTAAAGTAAAAAGCTGCTGCAACCCCAGGCTTTATCTCTTATCTCACTCTTCTTCCAAAGCAAATCCCTCGAGCACCCCAGCCTGGAACTCACCATTTATTTCTAGGCTGTCACTATCCCCACAGCCATAGATAGGCAGGGCTTTCCCCTCTCCTCTCCCCTACTGTTCCTATTTTTCTGCACAGGTCAGTTCAAATCAGCAAATAAGATTGTGCCAGGCACTGGAGACCCAGAGTCGATACAATCCCAGGAGCTCCAGGTCTACAGGAAACATCGAATAGATGCTTAACAGATGGGAAATGCTATTGAGAGCCCTTTTAGGAGGAGATGAGAAATCTCGACAGGCTTCTTGGAGGAGGTGGCATTTGCATAGGGTTTGATAGAGGAACATGTGGAAGATTCTCCAGAATAAATATAAAGGGTAGAAAACAATAGCTGTAGCTGAGACATTGAAACAGGGGTAACAGTGCCAGAAAGCTCGGTAGGGTGCTGAAAGCCTTGAGACTAGGGTAGTGACCTTGCTTCACGAGGTAACAGAGAGCCACTGCAAGTCACTGCAAGTCACTGCAAGTCAGGTGCCTAACTTCCACATGTGACAGCAGCTGGGCAGTGCCCTGGTGGCTCAGGACTGTGGTGAAGACAGACCTCTCCCTTCCACAGTGCCCTTCTGACCACCATGGCCCAGACCCCTGCTTCCATCTGCTTCTTCTGCCCAAACCTTGGCATTCCCCTGCCTTTCTCAAAATGCCTTTCTCTTTTGGGGAACTGGAGAAGAAGGGAAGGGGTGCTGATAGGAGGGACAACCTGAGGGCTGGCAGGGCTGGCAGGCCTCACACTCACTCCTGCCCCCACCCTCTGCAGTTCATCCTCATCTTCACCGTGATTCAGTACCGGCCAATCACCTACAACCACTACCAATACCCAGGCTGGGCCGTGGCCATCGGCTTCCTCATGGCACTGTCCTCGGTCATCTGTATCCCACTCTATGCCTTGTTCCAGCTCTGCCGCACAGATGGGGACACCCTCCTCCAGGTGAGGGGTGGGGCCAGGAGGCAGCCAGGTGAAATGGGGAGGGAGGCTGGGTGGGGCTTAAGGGCTGCTCTTCTAACGTGCACGACCGACCTCCACCCACCCACCCACGTATCTACCTTTTTTGCAGCGTTTGAAAAATGCCACAAAGCCAAGCAGAGACTGGGGCCCTGCCCTCCTGGAACACCGGACTGGGCGCTATGCCCCCACCATGCCACCCTCTCCTGAAGATGGGCTTGAGGTCCAGCCACTGCACCCGGACAAGGCCCAGATCCCCATCGTGGGCAGTAATGGCTCCAACCGTCTGCAGGACTCCCGGATATGAGCACAGTCGCCAGGGGAGCATCCCAGCCCCACCCCGTGCTCCCACCACAGAGACTGGGGAGGCAGTGGACAGGTGTCACCACCTGCCCTTGTCACGCCCTAGCCGGGGCGGCTGCTGTCACCTTGGCCACCACTGCTAGCTCGGTCATTCGTGCTCGTGTCCCCAGTGTTTACAGGTCCTTTGGATGTCAAGATGGCAGCTGGGGGTGGTATGGATGACGGGAGGGCTGATGGGGGTCCCAAAGCACTTTGGAGGGGACTGGGTCAGGTCCCCAGAGGCCTGCGGGGCTTTACATGACCTGTGATGCCCCCACACTCTGCCCCGAGCTGAGGGTCTGGATGGGCCCCCCACCTGTCCCCATCCTGGGCCTCCAGCCCCTTGACCAGTGTTCCTGCCCTTAAAGCAGGTCCCAGCCTCTGCCCAGGCAAATTTGGATCTTCCCACTCAGAGGCTGGAGGGTGTGTCGTGTTACTGTCAGGCTGTGCTGCCCAGCCCTGTTTGTCTGTGTAATTATTTTTGTAAAAACTGTATTATCTGTGGTTGCCACTCCCTTGTCACCAGCCTTGGGCTCCATCTGTCTTCCAGGCCTGCCTGCACCTTATTTGGTGGCTTGGGGTCTCTGCACCTCATTCTAGCCCTGGCTGTCAGGCCTAGCAATAGAGGCCCATGATCCAGTAGCCTGCCCAAAGCGCTAGTTTGGGGGCAGGGAGGGGAGCACAGGGGTGGGGTGCTGCTCACAGGAGGCTTGCACCCAGAGCCCTGGGGAGGGGACTCCACATGACCCAACCTTGCCCTCCCTCCACCAGGCTAAAGGCCCAGTCTTCCCAAATTGGGCTGACCTTATTCATGTGCCAAATGGCCCCAGCCCGCGTGCCCCATCCCTCTCCCGAGCCCTGCAGTGTCTGTTTGTCTATCCTCTGTGCCCCTCTGTGCAGTGACAGCCCTGACCAAGCCGCCTCTAATCCTCTGTAGCAATAACGGTGCACCACCCACCCGCACCACCCGTGCACCACTAGGATTTTAAAGTCCATAGATTTTAATGAAATTTCTATTCCTGTCTCTGAGCTGCTGCTGTGCTTTGTCTGAATCCCCCAGGGGGACAAGAGTCAGGGCTGGGATGAGACCTCTGCCTGCCAGGTCTTTGTGGAGGCCTGGGAGGAGAAAGGCCACAGGCTTTGATGGTCTGGCCAGAAGCTGGGCTTGGGGCTGGGGTGAGGGCCTGATACAATGAGTCTTGGAGTCCCGGTGAGAATCCACCCAAGGCTGGATATGAGGGGGCTGGGCCATAGCAGCTGAGAGGGCAGCAGCAGATGGGGTGAGTTCCGGCAGAAATTGGAGACTGCTCCATGGCCAGCCCCTCAGCTTGGGGCCTGGGGCACGACACTGGACATTGGAGTAGAAGTTGGCCTTGTCCTGGGGCTGCACTGAAGCCTCCGTCCCCAGCGGCAGGTGGCAGATGGGCCTCTGGGGCGGGGGCAGCTCTCCAGAGGAGGAGCGGGCAGGTGGCCCTGGAGTGGCCCAGCCCAAACTCCCGCAGTCCCACGGAGACAGGGCAAGGGTCTGAGGCTCTGGCTGGGCCCGGACGGCTGCCACCTGGACACAAAGGAGTTGATGTGAGGGGGCTTTGGACTGCTCCTCTGCCTGCTCTGTCCACCTCTGTCCACCTGCCTTGGCTTACCTGTGGCTGGGGGACATGCGGGATGGCATCAGAGGCGCCTGCAGCTCCTGTTGCATGGCTGCCTTCTGCTCCTTTAGCTCTGAAGAAGGCAGTTTCTAAGACACAGCACCCAGCTCTGCTAGGTATGAGCAAGTTGGGGTGGGGAGCAGAAGGCTGAGTGTTCTAGGGCTTGCCCAAGGTCCTCACCTGCCAGGGTGGGCTCTACGGTTGCCTCAGAGGACTGGGGTGGCCCCGTGTACTCCTCCTCCAGGCAGCGCTGCAGAGGGAGCTGGCTTAGTGCCCCAGTTGGGGAGGGGTGGGGCAGGGCAGGATGCAGAGGCCAGATCCCCAGGGCAGGGCCCAGGAACCAGCCCATGTGGTCCCCTTACCATAACCACCTCAGGGCAGCCCCTGGGCAGTCCCCCTGAAAAGCTGAGTTTGGAAAAGTAGCCTGGGCTAAGAGAAGGGAAGGAGGTGAGATCCAGCAGGTTAATCTGGACATAAGGGCTCAGCATAAAACCTCACACTTCTAGGGCTCACACATGAGGCTTGCACATGACACACAGGGCTCACAAGCTTTACACGCATGTACACAAACGTGTGTGGGGGTCTCATACCAGGTTAGAGGCAGGTGCGCCCACATGCAGCAGAAAGGCACTGAGGGGAGGCCTGGGGTGCAGCTCACCTGCAGGACCGGGATCTCCCTCTCCAAGGTGCGACACTCCTCCTCCAGGAGGCCCCTGGGACACAAGGGGTGTGGCACCCAGAGCCAGTGCCACAGAACAGAGTCTCAGCTGAGGCCTCCGCACAGCTCCAAATGCACAGCAGCCTCACTGGGCACCCTCTCCAGGCCCCCCAGCCTCCGCCGCCCCAGCACAGCCTTCCAGTCCTGCCATCCTCCTCCTGGGCAGGATATAACTTCTCCTTGCCCAGGTCACGGCATCCAGGCACCCACCTGGGCAGAGACCAGTCTCCCTCTGCACTACCGCACTGGGCTGATTCTGAGGTCTCCCTCCTGCCCCCACCCCCATCAGGATAAAGCTCCTCCCTGGTGGCATCTGTACTCAGCTCCTTTCTTGGCAGCAACCTTAGCAGCCCTGAAGGCCCTGCCCTCTTAGCCTTACCCTCACAGGTCTGCCCCCAGGTCTCCTGTCTCCTCCCACAGTGCCAGACTCCAAGATTCCACCCCAGCGCCACCCCGCTGCCCCGAAAATACACTCAGGGGCCTCACCGCAGGTGCCCGGCAACTTGGTCAATGTCAGACACGTTCAGTTGGTCCTTCATGGTGCTGAGGTCCCTGAGATGGCTGCTGTCAGCTGAAGTGGCCATCACTCTCCTCGCGTCGCCTCCCCCATGCCTTCAGAACACAAAGGCCCTCCTCCTAGACAAGTCTGTGGCTTTCCCCACAAACTTTGTAACACAACATTGTGCCAAGAGGAAGAGTGCTGGAGCCTGGGTGTGCAGAGGGGTTCTGCCACACGCTTGGGTGTGGCCAATCAGCGATCCCTTCTGAATTTTACTTCCCTCATCTGCAAAATGGGGACATCATCTACCTCGCAGGGATGTGTGAGAACTGGAGAAGCGTTGCTACCATCCACTTAGGAACATGCACCTGCTCACTGACCTCATTCAGTCCCCGGATGTGAATACCACCTGCTCCCTCTACCCTCAGCTCTCCCCGCCTCTCTAGCCGAGCCCTCACTTCTGTTCTCCAGGCCCAAGGAACAACACTGACCAGTGAACAGGCTACTTTTCCCACAGATGCTTGCATATGGTGATCTTCTTCCTGCAAATCTCTCATCTGGCTGGAAATCTGTTCCTCATCTCCAAAACCCAGCTCAAACCTGTCGCTTTCTCCAGGAAGCCTTGCCAGCCCTTAGGCCGGGCAGGTGTCCCCTGGGCTCCTGCAGTCCTCATGGACTGATTCCTACCACAAATGGCTGCAGAAGGTCCAGCCCCCAGCCAGGAGCTCCTCCACGGAGCTGGGACGGGCCCACCAGTTGGTGTGGCCTTCTGCCAAGCAAGGGCAGAACCCTTTTCTCCTGCCACCACTTTACCTGGATTCACCAGTTTTCATCGGGAGTATCTCCTGTTCTGGCACATCCCACCTGGGCGCCTCCAAGGCAAAGTGCAGGACACTGGGGCTGTACTGGACCCAAGCCTGGGTTGTGTCCCTGTGTTCGGTGCACAAGAGGGAAGCTCAGGCATCCTTCCAGGGAGCCACAGGACAAACGGGGCGCTTGTCCGGTGCAAGTCAGGCCCATTTGAGTTATGAGGAAGGGACCCAACCCCAGGTCTGGGGTTCCCACCTGCCCTCGCAGATGGCCTTCTGGTGGAGACCCTGGAGCAGCTGCCGGAGTTCCTGGCGCACTAAGTCCCTTAGGAGAGGCGGAGGTGCCAGGAGGGACCAGGGGTCGGAGGTGGGGCGGGAGCTCTGGGTGTGGGAGGCCCGAGTCTCCTGAAGCAATGACCGCAGCGTCGCCACCTGCAATGAGAACTGGGACACCTTGCGACTGCGGAGGGAAGAGTAAGGAGTGAGGGGAGCTGGGGCCGTGAGGGGCAGTTCCGAGTCAGAATGGAGGGGGCTGGGCGGACAGTGAGGCCGGGGAAGACCCGGGCGGTTGCTGGGCTGGGCCGCAGAGGGCGCGGGGAAGTCTCCCGCATCGTAGGGCTGTCCGGGGGGTGTAGCCCACCTTCCCATGCCCCACCTCTGCCCGCAGCTCCCGACTCAGTTCCACCGTGGTCTCCCCCAGAATCCGCTTCACTTCGAGCCGCTCTGGGAGCGGAACATGCTCCTCCACCAGCTCCCACAGCGACGGGGCGTCCCGGGGCATGGCCTGCCCGCGCTGCCCTGCGCCGTCACCAGGCACCAGGCTCGGAGCTGCGGGACGGCGGGTCGAGGCGCTGAACCCCCCGGAGCCCGCGGGTCCCCAGCGTCGGGCCCGACCCGCGCGCCCCGCCCGCCCCGGTTTCACCGGCCACGCCCCACCTCGTCGCCCTCGCCGGCCTCTCCCAAGCCCCTCGGCAGAATTCACACGGTCCAGAGCCGCCGAAGCCTGGCGCCCCCTCCGGCCCGGCTCCTGGGAGGCTCTCGGGGGCCGCGGGTCCGGGTCACGGCCCCCGGGAGCCGGGCGGTGGGAACCAGGGGCCCGGCCCGGCCCGGCCCGCGCGCCGTCACCCGGGAGACCGCGCCGCCCCCCCAGGCCCCGCCCCGCATTCCAGGTCGGGAGGGCGGCGCCGGCTCGCGGGGAATCCGAACCATTCACGGAACCCCGGCCCAAGGCTCTTGGGCTCTGGCCCGGCCACCACTTGGCCTCGGGGCCGGGAAGAGACACCCGAGTGCACTGGGCTTATTACTCCGTTGCCTCTTCTGACCGGTAGGTCAGCGGCCGGGTACAAGAAGCCCCGTGCCCGCCGCTGCGCTTGGGGGGCCTGGCAGTCAGGACAGACCCCGGCTGGTAGGTCAGACGCCCTTCCACCACGCAGTCAGAGACCTGGGCTCAGGGACCCAGATTCCCATCCCCAGACACACACGGGGGCTGCTCCATTCACGTTTTTTACTAAAGCACCCACACAAGTTTCTGTGCAATGTACAAATACCAGCCAGCCCCGGGGCTACTGCCTTTTCTCTGAGACAGGGAGGCAGAAACAGACTGATCCAAGCTTCACCTGCCCCCCCATGCAAACCCCAACCCCAAGATCCCAGGCAGCAACACAGCACCCCCTCTGGTCCCCTCCTGGGGCTGCTCCTCAGTAAGGGGCACACCAGAATTTGCCCCCTACAATGCTGAATGAAAAAGGTTTCCCCTCCCCTGGGAGCGTGGGGGATCCCTAGGTCTGAGAATTCCCCCTGGAAGAGACACTGCCCCCTAGTTATGACTTCCCACCCTTCCAGGCCCTAGGGGACTCAAGGGGGGAAACTGAGGCACAGAGAGGTGGAGTGACCTAGCCCAGGCCACTCGGTGAGGCAGTGCAGGGGCTGGCCCAACCCTGAAGGTGAGGGAGGTTGGACTGGGGAGGGAGGGGCAGGTAGGAGGGCTGACCCCAGAGAGGGTCACACTTGAGAGGCCTGCCCAGGACGCAAGCCCCCCAAAGTAGGTTCTGAAACTTCCAGGTGCAGCTGAGGGGCCTATCAAAGATCCTTGGAAAACAGAGCCTACAGTCTTGGTCCTGGGGGGGTTCCCCCAAAGAGCAGTCACCAGCCAGGCTGTAGGTCAGTCCTCTGGCAGGCAATCCTTGGCAACAGGAGCCTTTGTCCATGAGTGTTAGCCCCGAGGGGGCCACGACGGGGGCCGCCCAATGTCCACCGTGATGTTGGTGAAAAGTGGTTGCCGAGACACCTCCAAGACCTGGTAGCGTACTGAGCCGATGCCGTCTCGTTTCATGGTCAGCTTCGTGTTTTGAATCTTGGTAAACCTAGACAGGATGGAAGTGGGTCCAGATCAGGGCTAACCACCAAAATCAATACGGGATCTCTGGGACCAAGCCTCAAGCCATCCGGGCATCTTCCAAGGATGACATGGTTTTCTTTGCCACTCCTGCCACCCCCCCCCCACCTACCTAGAACCCTCTGACTCTTGCACCTGCCCTCAAAACAAAGAGCTCACCCCTCTTTAGTCAGCAAACAGGATTGTGACACCTCACAAATCTCTCGGCTCAGACCATTCTGAGCCTCAGACCCAGACATCGGTGTCTGTCCCATGGCACCTCAAACACGATGTCCTCTATCAGATGCATCATTTTTACCCCCTAAATCCATCATCCGTATTCCACATCCTTCAGTCACTCCTTCACCTTCTATCGAGGAGGCCTCCTGTGCCAGCAAGGTCATTCTTCACTAGGGAGGTCAGGAAGAGAGAGGAGAAACCTCTAAGGGTAAAGGGAGACCATGCTGGCCATGGGATAGGGTGAGTCCGTGGCATGAAGCTGACAGCAGGGGAAGAGCAATCCAGGCAGAGGTACCAGCACAAGCTGACCTTAAACCAGGGCTGCACACTAAGCCAGAGCTTCATGGGCCAAGGGAAAAAACAGAGTAAGATCAGCTCGGGGGTTAGAGCATGTATGGGCAGGGCTCTGTAAGTCAGAGTAAGCAGTTCTTATTTTTATTCAGGGAGTGAGAAAACACTGAGGGATTTTTAGCCCAGTGTGGGGGAGGGAGGGGGCAGGGGCATACACTGTAAGTGGGGAAACCCGTGAAAGGCCACCGCAGTCATCAGGTGAAAAGTGGATGGGCTCAGATATATTTTGGGGGTGGCACTAACATAACTAGATAGTTTGGACACATGGGGCAAAGGAAAGAATCCAGGAGAACGCCTAGCTTTGAGGTAAAGAAGCAGGTAGATGGAACCACCATCCATAGAGTTCCTTAAGCCGGAAATTTGAAATTTCTGACCCTCCTGCTACTTCCCCACCCAAGGCACACATCACTAATTGATGACGGCACTAGCATGCCACTGTTCAGACAGACCTAGGCTGGTGGTATGTGCTTCCAGAGCTCCGCTCCCACCCTTATGCCCCAATTGTTTGGATCATCCTCCCCTGAGCCATCCAGCGCTGAGCACTCTCTAGATGCCAGCCTGCAGGCCCCTCCCCTGCTCACATGGGTCTTTAACTCAGCTGCTTTTTCCTCCGTTCCTGGTGCTCCTGGTGTGGCTTCATGCTTCTGCCAAACCACCACCCTACATCAGCAGGGTAGCCCATGTAGCTACTCTCACGCTGGCTCAGGGCAGAGAAACCTTATAGTCTATCTGTCCAAGCTGGGGGCACAGCAGCTCCCTAGGTCCTCACCCCAGCACACCCCCAGGCCCTGTCAATTCCTTTAGGCCCAGTTGGCTTCCCTCCTGCTCCACCCAGCATCTCTGCCAGGCCTTCGTCTTCAAACCCAAAGGATGATCCCTCCAAACACAAATCTGAGCCTACCTTTTCCCTGCTTAAAGTCCTTCTGTGACCCCCCCAGTGCCCCCAGAACAAAGTGATGTTCCCAACCTGGCATTTGAGAACTCTAACACCCAGCATTGACCCCAGCCTTCAGAGATTTTACTACCAAAGTGCTCAGACTCTTAGCACAACCGTGCATGCTCACATACCAGACTCTTACAAACACTATTTCTTTTATCCAAACTGGCCTCCTCCATAGCCTGGTGAATATAGCACTGTGCCCAAAGTGGGCACGTGACAAATGTTTGTTGAACGACTGACTCTTCACAAACCCCAGGTGATTCCCACCTCCTCCAAGAGGCTTCCTACGACCACTCCCTTTTCTGCCCGGGGAGCACCTTGCCCTGATCACCTGGTGCTGTAGCTGCTGACCCCTCCCTAGAAAGAGCTTCATGTGGCATAACCAGGACTGAGGATGAATGCTCTGAGTCCCCCCTCCCCAAAAGGTTTGGCACCAGACAGGGTAAGAGCAATGCCAGCAGCCCTGTTTACATTTCACATGCCCTTGGTGACTATTCCCAGCCAGCATTCCCGGTCACCAAATATTGCCATCTCCTCAGAGACTCAGTCTACTCCAACCCCAGAGAAGTCAGCACTGTCTCCCTTCTTCCCAGGCCTGGAGCTGCGCCTGGAGTCTGTTCTCTCCAACGCTAAGTGGTCCAGCACATGAGAGGTCTATGAGGGCATCAGTAGAAACTCAATCCACTCGCTAACAACTGGAGCCCTTTCCTTTAAATTAGTTACCCCCAGGAATCAGGCTAGGGATGAGATGTCGGGTGAGGCTAAGCTGGGGGTAGGGGCACAGGGATTGGGGACGCTGGAGTCATCTCCAAGAGCTGAGGGCCAGTGGCCTTGGGACCTCCTCTGGGGATTAGTGGCACTGGGAAGTCACCTCTAAGGAGTCAGGGGTTAGGTTAGGGACACTGGGGGCGAAGGGTACTGGGGGTCACCTCTGAGGATTGGGCTCGTTATGCTTGTCCCGGTCGTGCTTGATCATGCGGTAGCGGCCTATGCGGATGTCTGGGCGCGAGATCTTCATCCCAGTCAGGGAGATCCTGGGGACGGGGACAGACGGACTGGAGCAGGCACCAGGAAGGGCAAGGAGCCCCACCCAGTCTGTGCCACACCCTCACAGGCCCCCATTCTACTCCCACACGGTCCCTACTCACCGGTTGAAGATGTCGTCATCCTCACCGCCCCAGCCCCAGTACTCGTTGGGGAAGCCATTGATTCTCAGAAACTGGGCTTTACTCAGGCCCGACACACCTCCAAAGTAGCCAGCATATGGCAGCCTATGGAAAAGGAGGCCAGGCATCAGAGTGGGTCCTGCGGGGACACCAGATGGAGGACCAGGGATGGGGTGGGGGTGAGTGAACCACAGGGGTAAGGTGTGGGGGGACAGGTGTGGTGCAGAGGCAGGGATGGGTGCTAAGGGGGCCCTCACCGAAAGCCAAACTTGTCCATGGCAATGGCAAAGTGGCGGGGCTGGTCACCGCAGCGGTACAGGTTGCGGTCATCCATGGGGACCAGGTCCACGTCGCTGAAGATGAAGCAGTCGTAGGCGGCGTCCTCCTTGAGAGCTTCTAGGAAACCCACATTAAGTAGCTTGGCCCGGTTGAAGGTGTCCTCACCATGCTGGGGGCGGGGAGGAGCACAGGTCAGCTCTAGCCCTGTGACCAGAGGCACCTGCACTACACCACTGTCCAGAGCAGTCCCCAGGGGCTACCCTCACTACACCCTCACTACAGCTCCCCCAGATTCTCACCAGCAATCCAGATTCTCTGCCTGGACCTGGCCTCCCAAGGTCTTTCATGATTGGCTCCTCTCTGGCCACTGCCCACTGCCCCCAAGACCCAGCACCACTACATTCCTCTGCAGCCCCAGAATATGCCAGGTTTGTTCTTGCCTCTCGGCATTGGTGTTAGCAGTTCCTCCTCAGCTTGTCACACTCACGCCTGGAGATGTTTCCCCACCCAGCATAGCTGTGCATTCCCTCCCGTGTGCCTCAGTAGGCCAGTGTACACTCAGACTGTGATTCAGATCTCTCGCTCTCACCCGTTCATTCAAATACACCCTGTGGCCCTCTCCTTTGTGCCTTCTCCGTGCTAGTGGGGGTCCTAGAGATCAGCAGCCCTGGCCCCTATTCCTACTGAGCACACTGTCACTAAGCGAGGCGAACCACGAATGCCACGAAAGAGCATGCCTGAGATGCAGGAGTCACAGACGCAGCGCTGGGCCTCGGGCACTGGCCCTCCTGCTCCTCTGCATCACCAGCCCACGGCCTCTCCCTGGGCCGTCTCTGAGGCCAAAACAGGACAGAGCTACATTCACTGTCCAACCCTCAAGCCCCCCCAAAAAAGACAAACACAGGGTCCATAGGCAGTTCTGGCCTAGGTGCCTGGGGTCCCCTGAGAAATGGGGCTGCAGGGCCAGGACTCCTTGAGGCTGGGCTCCTGGTCGTGTAGGCCCAACTGCCAAATTCCGGCCAGAGCAGAATTCCACAGTAGGAGCAAGTCCCGGAGTGCCTGCCCTGAGCCGTGATCTCCAGGCCGGAGCCGGAGAGGTTCCTGGGGCGGGAGGTGTGTGAGTGGGCCCGCCTGCAAGCAGAGGAATAGAGGACCTGCCCCTCCACCAGCCACGCTGCTCTGCTGACCCCGAATGCCTAGGCCTGTGCGCTCTCCTCCCCTTCCCCGGCCCGTTTCTCCCCCACCTGCCCTCCGAGCGACGTCCATTTTCTCTGGCTCAACAGCACTCTTTCTAGCCCCTCACCAGCCAGGAGCCCTAGGTTTCTCCCACATCAACATGCTCAATTCTCGTCCATTTGAAAAACAAAAACAAAACCTCCCTCTCGCCACCACCCTACCTTTTGTCTTCCCTCCTCAGCAAAGATTTTTTGTAAAAAAGAGTTGTCTCCATTTGGCTATTTCCATTTTGACAAATCTGATTCCTTCTTCAACCCACTGCAATCTGCTTCCGCCCCCACCCTGCCCCTGAAATGGCTCTTACTAGGCCCACCTTGTTGCTAAATCCACTGGACGCTTCTTGGTCCTCGTCCTTCCTCACTCCCCCGGCAGTGCTACGCAGCTGCCATGCTTCCTTCTGGACACTTATTCCAGGGCTTCTGGACACCACACTCTCCAGGATGCCCTCCAACCCTTTGGGCCAACCTTCGCAGCCTCTGTTCTCTCTCCTCCCTCTCTCCATGGCCCCTGCCGTGCCGGCTTTCTCCTCCCTGGCCAGGCTGGACAGGACCATGCACATAGGGGTGGCTCCCAACCCCCCTCTTCACTGCCCACCTCACTCGGCATTCACTTATTTGTCCAACACTTCCCACTTCCCAGCCACTCAGACTCATCAGGGGCAAAAAACAATTCCGAGTCACAGTCACGTCCCCATCTCGCTCAGAGGAGCAGACACGTACTCTGCAAGCAGCCAAGACAGAACCCCTCGAGGTGTCCTGGCATCTCTCCCCTTACTCTCCACAACTCGCCTCACATTTCTCCCTCATCCCCACAACTACTTCCCACCACGCCTGCATCTTCACATCTCTCCCAACATCACAGCTTCTCCCCACTGGCCACCCTGCCTCTGCTCCCTGCTTCCAGCCCCTTCTCCACATGCACTCACAGCCAGGTTTCTAATCCGCAAACATACCTGTTACTACCTCCTTAAAGCCCCCACCCCCATGCTGCCCTGCTGCTTTTAGTTCAGATCTCCCCACTTTCAGGCAGTTATTCAACCACTTAATGTGCCTCCTCAGGCCTTCTTGATTTGGCTTCTATCACCTCCTCCTCCTTGTCCTGCCCACTCCAGCCAACAGTTCTTGAACATGGGAGAGCAGTTCTCCTGCCGGGCCCTGGTTCCTCCAGGTCCTCTGATCTCAGGACCCATCTCAACGATCGCGTCCCAACCCCAGCGCTGCCCAGGGACTGCCCTGTCATGCACCACCATACTGGAGTCTGTAGGAACGCATGTCCAAGTCTGAGAGTCCTCTGTGCGGAGGACCCGTGTCAGATCCTTTCCAGCCCCAGCGGCCAGCTCTAGTCAGCCCACCGCAGGCTCTCACACTGAGCCAAGTCCCTGCACCTCAGCTGTGGCCAGCACCTGACCTGAGGTAGACGTCACCCTCTCTCCAGCTCTAATTCTCCCTGTCCTTGGGTGCTCACTATCTTGTCAGAGCCCGCACACCCCAGGCCTCTACCACCATGAGCTGGGGCCTGCCAAGGACAGACAACGGGCTCATCCTTCCTGACACTAAGCATCCTCCCACCAGTGTGCTGCCAACATCCGCACGTCCACACAGCCCTGGCCACACACCCCAGCCCACCTGTATGCGTGCCGATACACACAGCCTGCATCCACACAACCATAGGCAGACAAGAACCCACGGATGCCTCAACTCTACACACATGCCCATGTGCACATGGGCCCCCCTGGGATCCACAGGCAGTGCACCTGGTTGATGACGTAGATGCCGTAGCGCAGCCGCTGTCGCCTCAGGATGGGGTGCAGATAATGGAGCCAGTAGCGTAGGTGGTGCTCCCGGTGTCGAAAGGGGATGATGACTGCCACAGTCTGGGCTGGGATGCAGTCGGGTGGTGTGTAGCGGCCGCCCAGGAGCACGCCGGGGTTCTCCCGCTGCACCCGCTCCAGTGGCATGGGTGAGGTGAACTCAATCAGCAGTCGGCCCACTGCAGGTAAGATGGTGGCAGGCATCAGGCCTTCGTCACAATCCAGGGACACCAGCCCTCTCCCTCAGCCTGGGGCGGGTAAGGAAACTCCAGGAATAGCCTTCTCACAACAGACACGGACCCCTGGTACTCCCATGGGTCAAGTCTCAGTTCCGCAAGAGCCACTCTGCCCACCCCACAGGGAGGCCCTACCCCGTGGGCTCACCAAGGCCAGGCGGTAAGTCAGGACAGGGTGGCAGGGCAGGAGCCGTGGGGCCAGGCCGGGCACTGGGGGCCTCGGGCTGCCCGGAGCTGGGGGCAGTGGCGTTGGGCCGAGAGCAGTTGGAGCTGCTGCTGGCAGCTGGGTGCAGGGCACGGGCAGGGCCACGGGCACTGAAGCGGCTGAAGAAGGCCAGGTGCTGAGCGTAGACGTCAAAGTAGAGGATGACGGCCACGAGGAAGTGCAGCAAGCAGAGGAGGAGCACAGCCTTGCAGACGCGCTCCAGCGTCCCCCCCAGCAGTCTGCTCATCCCGCAGGCGGCCGCCGGCCCGCCCAATGGGCCCGGGCATCCGGCTGCCGGCCTGAGCAGGGAAAGGAGAGAAAAGCCCAGCAGGTCAGGGTTAGTTGGCCAAGGCTACCCACCCACATCCTGCCTACTGCTCACGCTCACAGACCCGCATCCTCACGCTGACGTGCTCCCACTGACCGACATTCAGGGACTCACATTCTACCTGGAAATCTACACAGACACAATCCCTGGCAACTCAGTACTCACATATCTTCACTCACCTAAGCAGTAAACTGACATTTTTTTGTCCTCAACGACACACACCCACACATAGGCACAGCCTCACACCCTCACACCACTGCTGCACAGCTTTACACACAGTTATAGGTTCCCAGGAATGTGGCCAGGTGACCTCGGATAACACTATTCATACCTAAACACAGAAATATGTTTCCCTACAGACTCGCACATGCACCTGCGCTCCAAGAACAGACCCCTGGGCAGGACCCGTGGCTTGCGGGGGTGAGGGGAACACCATCCACTCAGTACATGCCACGCAGGAGCACCCATACTCGAGACTTCATTGAAGTCCTCCCAGGAGCATGCTGGGTAGTGGTTTGGTCAGACAGGCCAGCTCAGGCCAGACTGGGAAGTGGCCCTCAGCATCCAGGTGCCCCAAACCATAGATGGTCCAAATACAGCCTAGAAGTTTATGGGATCCCTCTTACTCCCTCTGGAGTAAGAGGTTAAAATACAGGATGGGGCAGGGAATACAGGGTGGGGCAGGGAATACAGGGTGGGGCAGGGGACACCTCTCTCTAAAGACCTCAGTGACAGGGATTTACTCTCTGGGGCCTGCCCAGCACGGCTGGTTCTGACTCCCAGAGTGGGCCCCTGGAGACAGAGTGCAGCACTCCGCATGGCAGGAAAGGGGCCCCAGCTGTGGTTCCAACAGGGCAGCACTTCTGGCAGTGCTTCAAGGAGCTGGGTGAGTCTCACTCACAGATACACAGTACCGCCCCGCAAGCCCCACTCCCTTATCCCAGCTACCTTCACCCACACTCAGACACAGAGAAAGCTACATATAGTCAGACACACCCGGCTGACAGCAGAGCACAGAGTGACACACTCACAAACAAAGCCGCTGGTCCTGGACTTGCACAGCCATACATACAGGCTCCCGGGCCACTCACAACAGCTGGACCCACGTGCAAATATCCCCTCCTCTCCCTCGGGGCAGGGGTTCTGGGTCAGGCTGACCGCCAGGCTGCGAGGGGCCAGGCTGCGAGATGCTTTTGGGCAGGGCTGAAAGGGGTCAGTGGCCTGAACACGTGGCACCCCGGGACGGGGGAGGCAGCACAGAGCGGGTGGGTGTGGATCGGGGGTGGGGGGGGCGTGGATTGGGGGAGTGGATGTGGGGCGGGGGGCTGAGGCCAAGGGGAAACGTGAGTGGAGCGCCTCCCGGCGCCACGAGGCCGGGGCGAGCGAGGACAATAAGGGAAGCTGGCCGGGGGCGGGTGGAGGAGCCCGCGGCGGGGCTGTGGGGCGGGGAGGGGGGAAGCCGAATGATGGGGGTGGGGTGGGGTAACGCCAGGCCGGGGGTAGCGGCCAACGACTCCAACGACTCTCACCCGGTCCTGGGCGGGGATCTCGGGGCCGCGCTCGGGGCGCCCCTCTCGGGGCGGCTCTGGAATCTAGGGGCCCTGGGCTGGGAGCCGCGCGCGCCCCTCTCTCACCCGGCGCTCGGGGCTCAGCAGGGGGCGCCGCTCCGGTTCTGGCTGGGTTCCGGGCTCCGGCGGCTGCGGACCGCTCCGTCCCCCATGGCCGGGCCCCGCCGCCTCCCGCCGCCCGGTCAATGGCCCCCGCGGCCCCCGGCCGCCTCCCGCCGCCGCCGCGGGCCATGGAGCCGAGCCGCCCCGGGGGGCAGGGCGGGGCCGGGCGGCCGGGCAGACCCACAGACCCGCGGACAGGCGGACCACAGTGCGGCCGCCTCCCTCCCGCGCTACGGCGCCTCGGAGGGGCAGGCCAGGCCGGCGCGCCCGCGCGCGCGCTCCCGCGGCCCCCGCCTCCAGCGCGCCCGCACCCGCTGCGCGCCTCCGAAGCCGCCCCAGCCAGCGGCCAGACACAGCGGCGAGGGGACAGAGGTGGCACAGGACCGGGCGGGCGGACAAGAAAGTGCGGCTTATCTAAGGCGTTGGATTCGAGGTGGGTCACAATACGGGGCAGGGGGGTCTGGGTTGACGCGCGAACCCAGCCAAGGGGCCCGAAGACGGGCAGACTGGTGATGGATTCGTCAGCTCGGGCAGCCAGAGCATCATTAAGGCTGGTCAGCGGCCGGCAACCAGCTGAGAGGGCTGCTAGTGGGGCAGGACCCTTAAAGGTTGCGGCAGAAATACGTGGCAGGGAGCTGGAGTGGCAGGACCTTCTAGACTAATAGAAGGTTGGGGAAAAGACTGGACAGGAGTGGGAAGAGCTGGACAGGGCCATGGGAACCCCAGGAATCAAACTAGTTACTGGAAGGGGATGGCGCTGGGATAAGCAGAGGCAAATGAACAGGCTCCAAGCCCCACAGGATGTGCACTATGGCTGCCTGAAGGTCCTGTGGCAAGTAGGTGTGGCTAGGAGGATCCCTCCCCACCTCCAACAAATACCTGGGCCCACACCCCTAGACTCCTCTCCCTTCAACAAAGATGATCAGCACTACAGTATCATTACCTCCCCACCCAGGAGGGAGCTCTGTCCAGAGAAGAGACAGTGTGTGTCAGAAAGTTGCCAAGAGGCTGGCATGAGGTTGAGGCCAGCAGGCTTACTGGCCTCTGAAAGGAGGTGAAGAGGGCAACAGAAGTAGCACTGACCCAGACAAATACCATGTTTATTTCACAAACACTGGGAAGATGAGCTGGGGGTGGAGGTGGGATACAGCTGCACAATCATCAGGGGCCCACTTTCCACAATGAGGATCCAGCCAGGCAGTGCCTCCAAGTCAACAGGCAGCAAAGACTGAGTCCAGGGAGGGCCCTGAACACCAAGCCCCCCTGACAGGCTAAATGGCACAGCTCCAGCTGTCCTGGGGAAACCACAAATAAATAAGAGTAGGGCACGGCCCCACCCACACAGATCATCTAGTCACCCATCTTCACTCTGGAGGTCTGCAAAAGAACAAGAAAAACCAGGTAGGAACAGAGAAACAGATAAAACGGTAACAAATGACAGAAAACCACACCTAGCAAACCCAATGGCTGGATGGACAGACCACAACAGAGAGGTTACTGGACCACAGTGGACATGCTATGATAGGCACAGATGAACAGGGACAGTTGAACAACCACAGAATTATGCTGTGGGACAGAGAGATGGAGGGAAGTGGCATATGGACAGTGCCAGTCACCAGGAGCCAACCTGAACATAGGCAGGCACCCACAGTCACACTCAGACCCTCAGCTGATTCTTAGCCAGAAACACACACTGTCAGACATGAATCAGACATGCTGTCCTACTGACAGAACAAATACACACACAGGCCCTGAGAAGCCCAAACACACCAAGACAGACTGATACGGACAAAGACGAGATCCCAACCCAGTTGAGACAACATATAAACAGAAAAACAGAGTATGAGACAGAACATAAAGGGAAAGACTAAATAAAGATACACAGACACAAAGCAACAGAGAGAAAAAAAAATGAGACAGTGCAGTGATACCAGATTGGAGACAAAAATGAAAGTTTCAAAAGGGGAAAACCAGAAGATGGGAATGAGGTAGTGGAAGCTGGTCAGGGATTCTATGGTTATGATAGAGAATACTGTGGATCCTTAGGAAGGAGGGTAAGGCTGGGTTGGGGACAAGAGGATCCCAGGGAGATTGAGCACCTGAAGGATTGCAACGATGACCCCAAAGAGGCCGATGGCGCTGCCAAAGATCTCCACGATGAGAATCTTCACAAAGAGGCTGGGGTTCTGTGCGTCAGCCAGGGCGGCTCCACTGCCCACGATGCCCACACAGACTCCACAGAAGAGGTTAGACAAGCCCACTGTGAGGCCAGCCCCAAACATGGAGTAGCCTGGGGGAATGGAAAGGGAATGCTGAGGCCAATCCAGGTAGTGAGAGGAGAACAACATGAACTGATGGGGTCAAACACCTCTGAGCTCTGCAGAGCTGGCCCAAGTAGACGAGAGAATATCACAATGAGAAAACTAAGCTGGGGTGTGGGAGGGGGAGTAGGTGTGAAGCCCCAGCTCTTTGTCTTCACACATCTACCTACCTGCATGGTAGTTTCGATGGCCAATGGCCTGGGGGTCAGTGGCAGTGAAAGGCTAGGGGAAACAGAAAAGTAATTAAAAACTACCTCCTACCACCCAACATCAATAAATCAATATATGTAACATGCTGGACTATATATACCCCACCCTCGCCTTCCATACCTCAGCCATGTTGCTAATGACAATTGCCATGATGATGCCATAGATGGCCACAGCCTCACAGAAGATGATGCTGGTGGTTGAAGTAAAGGAATAGGGTGGAAAGAAAAAGAGTTAAAAAACCAAGCTTCCTCTCAAGCACTCCTTACCCTCACTGACATCCCCCAACCCCAATGAAGGTGGTCAGGAACAGCAAGTCATGTCAGGTGAAACATACAGGCAGTTCCCAACACAGGTGGTTCTGACAACCTTCCAAGGGCTCTATACTTACCTGACCAGATTCTTGGTCTTGATCCTAGGGGCCTTCACCCCTCCCCCAATGATGGATGAGCCCGTAATATAGATGCCCCTGTTAGAACGGACAAGAAACTGAATGGCAGAGCCCAAGCTTGACCCTGCCCCCCAGATGACTAAGGACCCAATGACACCACCTGCTATGATTCAGTCCCCCCCCTTGGTTCCACCATCCACTCACCATGCTGCCCCAACCACGGACAGAGAGATAGCTAGGCCAATGCCCAGGTTCGACCACATGAAGGGGGAGGTTTCCGTCAGGAACCTGAGGTGGAGAGAGGGAGGAAAGCAATTCAGCCCTGGTGGAAAAGTGGGGACAGCCCCAACCCCCATCCCCACCTCTCTCCAGCCCCACCAGTTCTAGATGGCGAAACAGACTTCATATCTCCCAAAGAAGTACCAAGGCCACAGGGAGGCAGTTCCTAAGGGAATCCTCTCCCAGCCCTCCCTTACCATGCCACATCAAAGCGGAAGCCCAAGTCAAAAATGGTGTAGCAGATTCCTGCAGCAATGAGAGAAAAAAAGGTTAGCAGTTGCTCTCTAGAGAAACTCCCTAACTTAGACAAGAACTTGCTCCCCAGCTGATGGGCCACTTTCCCATATACACTTCGTTCAAGGGAGAGTCCTCAGGCCGGCCCCCACGTGAAAGCACAGCTGTCCAGATCCCTCTGCTCAGGCCTCCATTTTCTGCCACTCCCTCAGTAACATCTCCCTCAGTGACACGTCCTCCCAGAGCAAGCCCCTCGGCTAGCAGCCACCCCGGCCTAAATACCCTGAAGGGGACAAGAGCTCGGGCCCGGCCCCACCAGATCCCGCCAGCCCAGTCCGAGTCGCTGTTTACCCAACAAGCTGTGGGTGGGGGGAGGGCAAAACGACCGGGAAAAGAGGAACTGAAGCGGCCTGTCCGTGACCCAAGGAGGTCGGTCAGGAGCAAGGGCAGGAGGAGAGCTGAGAGACCAAGGTGTGCGACTGCAGCGACAGAATGGGACGAGGGCTACTCCCGCAGGTCCCACCTACGCCACCCCCCCCCCCGCATGCAGCTGGAAATCTAGGTCTCGGGGGATTAGAGGCCCGAAAAGGCCTGAGGCAAGCCCCGGAGACCAGGGTACAGAGCCCGCGCTGGGAGCCATTAATTCCCAGACCTCACTTTCCCCGCTCGGACCCCACCTCGGTAGGGTTGGTGACCCCGCCCGCCAGGGCCCGGCCTCACCCACGACGACCATGCAGGCCCAGAAGGCCACGAAGACCCCGGAGTACAGCAGCGCTAGCCCCGTCATGGTGGCGACGACGGCGGGGGGTCCCGGGCGGTGGGGGCCAGACCTAACACGGCGTCCCGGCGTCCACTGTCCGCCCCGCAGTCTGTCCGCCCGCCCCGCAGCGTCACCTGACCACCCACGTGACGCGCGCCCTCACGTGACCTCACGCCAGGTCCGGCGCTGGGTCGTTGCGTCGCTGCGGGTCCAGAAGGGCGTCGCGGGAACCGCAGGCGCTGGGGATTGTGGTGGTTGTAGTCCCGCGCCTCGGAAGCGGCTGCGGCGGGCTTCTGCCCACCTCCAGCTCTGCCCTCTCCGGGGGCGCTGCTTCTCAGCCCCGGCACCCACCCCGCTTTGGCCCCCTAGTTCTGCTCGGGTGTAAAACCCGAGCCTGGCATGCAGCCCTACCCAGTCCCAGGAGGGTGTGATGCTCTTCACTTTGCTTATGCTGTTTCCTCTGCCTGAAGCGGGCTTCGTGCTCACCCCATACCCGGCTAACCCCTATCAGTCTTTTTTTTTTTTAAGATTTACTTATTTACACATACAAGAACTGGGTTACAGGTCAGAAGTGCGAGGGAGGGGGTGAGAGGCTGCGGATTGCTTCATTGCTTAACCCCTTGTGCCACCAGGGAGGCCCCTAACCCTTATCAGTCTTTAGAAACTATTCTTCCAAGAAGCCTCCCCTACCTGGGGTGGCGTGCCTTAAGAAACTTCAACATCACGTCATTCCCTTCTAAAATGCTCCCTGGGTTCCACTTCATTGGGAATAAAATCCCAAGTACTTACATTGGCCTCTACTGATGTGGCTTCCCATGCCCCTTACCTGACTTTATCGAATACTCCCCCACTGTCTCTCCAACTGCACTGACCTCCTTGAACTTTCCTGAACATACCAGCCCTGTCCCCACCACACTGCCCTTGTACTTGCTCCCTCTGCTTCTAATTGATTCACTTACAACTTCCTTTTAGGTCTTTGCTCACCTCCTTCAAAGGGCCTTCCTTGACCACCCCGTTTAATATTGCACTCCCTCACCCCTACATCCCTTCCCAGCTACATTTCTTCGTAATATTTACTTATGACCATTTGACATACTAAGTATTATATTCTACTCCCCTGGCCTCCCCACCCACCCAACATAAAAAGAATTTTTCAGTGCTGCATTTCCAGTGCCTGGCACACAGTGGGTCCTCAATACATATTTACAGAATACATGACTGGTGCCTACCTTGTCCCAGTTACTATGGTCAGTTTATAGATCTACCTTTGCCTGTAGCCTGGGCACTCCTTGAGGGCAGAGGCCACATCTCCCCTGTTCACCTGCTTCTTCAACAGCTTGGACAATGCCATTATGTCAACATTCTTAGTAAATGTGGGGCAGGATGAGGTGATCATTTCACTTCACCCCTTCTGATCTTCAGGGTCCATCAACTCCACTTTGCTTCCAGTACCCACCATGCTGATGTGCCCTTTGCTCAGATATCCTTTTCACTTCTTTTCTCCTGCCAATTTTTCTCAAGAGATTAAGTTTAGGTATCATCCCCCCAAACCACCTCTGGACTCCAACTGCCCCTGTGGGTGTCCCCCCTCTCAGAGAATACTGTTGCACTGAATGGTAATTGCCTATTTAACTGTCCCTCTACCCAAATTCACTGTGAGGACAAAAATCCTGTCAAATATAACTCAGCTCTCCATCTAGAGAATCTGTGCAGGACCTGCAGTGTTTGATGAATAAAAAGAAACAAAGGAGAAAAAGTCTCTGGTTTATTCAAGTTTTCTGTGATCTCCCTGAGAACAAATCAAAGTCAGTGTAGACCAACACTATTCCAACAGAACTTTCTGAGATGGACATGTCTGACAGCTGCGCTGCCCTTCATGTGGCTGTTTGAGCACTGAAATGTGACTAGTGTGGCTGAGAAACTGAGTTTTCAATCTTAGTGTAAATTTATTTAAAAAGAGCCACATGTATCTTGTGGCTACTACACAGGATAACAGGTCTAGACCAATGGTTCCAAATGGGGGCAATTTTGTCTCCACAGAGAACATTGTCAATGTCTGGAAACATTTTTGGTTATCATGACTGGGGAGGAGTATAATATTGGCATCTAGTACATATGCACAGGACAGCCCCTCATAACAAAGAATCATTTGGCCCCAAATGTCAATAATACCAAGGTTGAGAAACTATGGTCAAGACCTTCTAGAACCTGCCTTTCAAAGGACAGACCCTTAATTGCACATCAGGAACTGTAACTGGCCAGGGGCTCGGGCTGCTCCCAGGAAGACAGACGGGCCCAAGTGGCTTCAAGAAAGATCCAAGTCAATCTCCATCACTCAAATAACAGGCATTCACTAAGCACAGCTTTGTGCCAGTGCCAGGACAGCACAGAGCTGGATCCTATCCTCAGTGAAGGGCTGCCTGCCCTCCCTTCATCCAGGCTCCTTCAAGGATCCTGGCAGAGGAGTGAAGTTGGTGCAGGGGACACTAAAGGTCTTAGCAGTGATTCTAAGTCCACCTGTGTCTCTGCCCCTACATGGTATCAGCTGCTTCCTTCATCCTCATAGGCGATGGCAATCCCCCGTCTTCCTCTCACAGCTCCTATCACTGGCGTCTGACCCAGGCAGGGTTGCAGCCCTTGCCAGCTCCGGGAACTAAGGAATGAGGCTGCCAAGAAAGGGAGTTGAGACTAAGTAGGCTGAATTTGGGGGGAGAATTAGCTGGGAGTAGAGTTTGCACATTTACCTGCAGGGCTGCTCTCAATCATTTCCAGCTGAGGTCTCTGGGTCAGGGCTGAGCATCCAGGATCCTTTAATGGCTTCCAGGCAGGTGGGGGTCGGAGCTCCCCAGTAATGAGCGACACATCTGGGGTGTCCCACAGTTCTGAGTCAGGTGGCGGCAAGGGCACATGGAAGGGAGAACCTGAGAGGGAGAAAAAGGATCCATGCTGGTCCCAATTCCACATCCCTAGCGTTCTGGGTTCAGGCAGTGGCCCCCAACTCACCAGGCAGTAAGTCGGCATAATGTGTGAGGTAGGGAGCCAGGCCTGGAGGTGGCCAGGCAGGGTTGCAGGCAGCTTCCAGCTCACAGGGTGCCAGTACAGGCCGGAAGAAGCCACCAGAAGACTGGGGGGCTAGGGCACCCAGAGGACAGGCTAACAGCACAAAGACATCCACCTCAGGAAAGTTAGCAAGTTTGGCAGGTGTGGGCCGCCCCAGGGCCAACACATAGCTACGTTTGCCAGCAGCCTGAGTCAGCTTCTGCAAGTGTGCCAGTGCCTCACGGTGTCGGGCCACACCTAATGTGCCTGCCAGCAGCCCAACCACACGGGCATCTCTGGCCTTCTCCACAAGATAGTGTCTACGTGCTCTTAGGCGCCCAGCTCGGGCCCCCTCATCCTGAGCCCGCCCTGTGTCTGGGCAGCATGAAGAGAAGGGTTGGCCTGGTGCCCAGCCCAAGAGCAGCTGGATCAGGTCAGGGGTGAGGTCAGGGTCAGGGCTGGCCTCAGAGCCCCCCACATAGAAGGCCCCATACTCTTCCAGACGCCTCCCTGGAGCCAGTGGGAAGCGACGTCCAAAACGCTCCAGGGGCTCAGGCTCTGGATTGAGGGAGCCCACTGGCAGGGGAAGAGCTGGGCTGGAGACAAGCAGGTCCTGGTACTGTGGACGCAGGAGAGTGGCCAAGGCCTCTGGAAGAAGGAGGTGGTGTCAGCTTTGAAAGTTGCAAGGCAGGAGTCCCTCCGTCCCCAAGAGACCAACTATGAACCAAATGCAAAGACTAGACTCAAGCCCGTTACAAGAGCTCTATGCCAGTGTACCAGAATGGGGAAATTAGGGCACAATTGGTCCACCCTTCCAGCATGCACAGGCAAAACCCCTCACCCAGGGCATGGGCGCAGGCCGGCTCACTCAGCAGCACCACAGGGGCAGTGGGGTCTGGGTTCTGGGCCTCAAAGGCCTTGGCGCAGAGCTCCAAGGCCACAGAACGCTGACCAAGGACGAAGGCCACAGGGAGTGGACGGGCTGGAGGACTTAAGCAGGCAGGGCCAAAATGCACGAGGGCCTGAACTCCAGCTTGCTCAGCACCCAGCACGTCCACACAGCAGCTGCAAAGGAAATACCACCAATGAGAGAGGTTCTCCTCAAGAGTTACTGTCATCAATGGCAAATATGGTCAGTGAAGAAAATGATGTTATAAAAAGACAGTCCATTAACGGAGCTAGTTATCAGGAAAGGCGTCATCATGAGAAAGAACAAATGGATTGGGGACAGATACCATCAGAGAGGGGAAACACCATGAGCCCTGGACCCCTCGACTTATGCCACCCTCCACCCTCAAGCTCAAGTTCACACCTGCCATAAGCCGTGTCCCCCAGAATGAACATCTTCGACCCCGTGATCTCCTCCAGTCGTGCAGCCACGGTCCCAGCATCGCCCAGGAGCTGATCAGGGAACTGCAAGGCTACCTATACGTAGAAGCCACGGAGTCAGGGACACTCCCCCACGGAGAGCCTCTTCAGGAAAGCCTTCCGGGAGTCGCCACATAACCTTCAAGGCCCTCGTCCAACTCAGCCCTCCCCAAATTCTCCTTGGGAGAATTTGGGAGTCCCCCTGGGAGGCCTAGGAAGGTGGGCCAACCCTCCCTAACCTGCCCTCACCCGTTGACAGCCCAGGTCGCGCACGAATACAGCGACTCGCTCCAGCTCGTACACTTGGTCCAGGTCTGCGAGAGGGGTGGGCAGCCCCGCGGCGCCCGCCTCCCGCTGCATCGCCGCCTCCGCGGGGCTGCTGAACGTGGACTCCATGAGGCGCTGATTGGGGGGGGCGGGAAACAGAAGGGACGCCCTCGGCTAGCCGCAGGTCCCGGCTGCTCCAAAGCTGCCCTCAACGGGTCCGAGCGGGCTCCGAAGCGCGGTCCGAAGCCGGCTGGGCAGTCCAAGGCCGGCGGGCCAGAGGAGCACGAAACCAAACCCGTGTTTTTCCGCCACCCACGAGCCTGCTGGCAAGAGTACTTCCGGGCCTTTGAGGCGTGGCCGGTGGCAACCTAGCCAATCCCAAACCAGCACAACACTCTCGCCCTCCAATCCTCGACAAGTCTTCCAGAGGACCAATGGTCTGCCGGAGCCCGACCGGAAATGCCTCAGGAAGGCGCGAAGGCTTTTGGGTGTTGTAGTTTCCCCAGCCCCCACCCCCACCCCCAGGAGGTTCTTCGATTCACCGCACCACCAAGAGCGTTCTCAGAAGCCCTGACACCCAGAAAGGTACTCCAGTTTGAGCAGCTCCTCTCCGCTGGATACTGTTAAGGACTTCATGCGCATTCTTATCATCTGGCAGGTAGCTTTATGTAATTTTTAATTCAGGTGCCAAATTGCCTGGGTATGAATATTAAGCTCAGTCACTTGAGTACTTGCTGAGAATCTTAGGAAAGTCACCTAAGGTCGCCACGACCATTTCCTCATCTCCAAACTGGAGTCCTAACAATAGTACTCCTAATAGGATTGCTGGGTGACATCAATTTAGATCTAAGATTTGCATATCACATGTACTGGAACATTCACCATTATCCTCACAAGCAATCTGCTCAATCAGGCAAACACTGAGCACTGACTGTTGACCAGCCGCCATGCTCTTAGAGTAGTTTACAGTCTTTGAAGTAAGAATTGCCCATTTTACAGTTCAGGAAACAGGTTCAAAGAGGTTAAACAGCTAAGGAGACACAGCAAGTCAGTGGAAAATCAGTAACAGAAGATATTGTCTGATATCAGAAGTTGGGCTCTAGGACCTTCCTTCTCCTAGCTTATATGTTACATTTAGTTACAGGAGTGGGGAAGCCATCTGGGGACACCATATAGGAAGACTAAAAGTATGTGACCCATCGCCACATACCCAGAAGTGGGAAATCAACAAGGTGAGAATGAGACTAAGGAGGAGTAGGAGAAGGGGAACAGGGTGACCTCAGATGACTGATGAGAGCGGGATGATGTTGGTTGTCATGGGAAGAGATTGAACAAGGAGGGAAAACATAGGACACAGAATTTGTGCAAAGACTGGGGAAAAACAGGATGGAAACAGTGGAACTAACGTGGCAGCAACTAATTTTCCTATCATCTCCAAGGAGAGTCATGGACGCACACGGATGGAAGTGAGGAGCGCCCACTCCTGCTTCAGCTCTTACTAAGGGGAAGACTGGGGTGCGTGGGAGCCAGTCCAGTGCAGCTATGGAGGAAGAACAGAAAGGAAGGGAATCACACTAAGGGAGGAGAGCAACTGCAGGAGGGGCGCTGTCCCTGGTCCTGACCAGGCCCCGACCATCCTGTGCTGGTCAGGTACCACAGAGGTGGGGAGCTACGGGTTCACAGACAACACTAGGTAGCACCGTCCTCTTCCTCTGGGAGCTGCAATACCTCTTTCCACACACACTTAACCCTTGTTTCTATACCTCTCTACAATCATGTGAAGTTTAGGCGCCTCCATAAGTTCACACCAGAAACCCATCCTGGAACTTAAAGCCACACTCCATTTCTCCCCTCACAACTGGACCCAAACCCAGCTCCCTTTCCTGCCCAAGGTCCCCTGCCTAGAAGTCTCCCAATCCCATTAGCAATGAAACTTTATCCAGCCACTTCCCTCACTCTCCTCATGCTCCCAGCTTAGCATGGTAAGTTTACCTTTGTTCAGACAAAACAAGGCATGGCAGAGCTAGAGGCCCAGTAGTCAAGACTGTTGATTAAATACATGCATGCTTTCATGCATGTTGGGGTGGGATGGGGACATAGAAATCCACATTCTCACCTCAAGGGCAATGGAAGCATTCTGCATCAGCCCAGATGGCACGGTTACCACAGTGCCCCTTCCATCACAGGAACCAGAAATTGCCCCCACTGCTCCCTTCCAAAGCCTGGCTCCAAGTATCCTCCCATCCTTCCCCAAGGCCTGCTGGGGTCACCCAGTTAGGTGGTGTTAGCAGTGGAAAGGAAACAGAGACAGTGTTGTAGTGAGGGTGTAGGTTTACTCTTTGGGGAGAAGAAGGGGAGAGGAGGCGGCATGGGTGGGACAGGGATGCCCCTCAGTAGTCAGCTGTGTAATCTGTGCCATGCAGCCCCCTGCACAGCAGTGTGAACTCCTTCACCATCTCCTTCACCCGCCTCTTGTTCACTCGCTCACTGAGGAGGGAAGGGAGAGCCAGTTAGCACCACTTACCATCACTGCCTCCTCCTCCCCACCCAAGCCTAGGCCCTGCCAGCTCTGCTCACCGAAGGATCTGCTGGCTGAAGGTGTCCTTCTGTTCAGGGCTGAGGCGGGCAGAGGGAAAACCAGGGGGCTGCAGTGCCTCCTTGATCCACATGCTCAGGAGGCTGAAGCAGTGTTTGTTCAGGGCAAACAGGATGTCGGCAAAGCAGTCCATGAGGCTGCGAGAGGCCTGGCCCCCAATGGCCTGAAGGAGACAAGTTCTTAGCACACCAGGGCTTTTCCCCTTCTGCAATAAGGGTGCCTAGCCAACCCGTCCCCCGCAACACCCCCCAACCCAAGTTCCTCGGCCAAACCATATATCACAAGTGAGTACTGCTTTTTGAAAGCCAGCTGATCTTCAAGCAACCCTACAACTTTTGGACATTTAATTGAGGAAGAAACAGAATTAGAGAGCTAGGGAATCAAAGGTTCAAGCTTCCTAGTAGGGCAACTGCCTCAGCAAGGAGAGTGACCCCCCCCCCCCCCGGCTCCCAAACACCACCTGAGCATCTCACCTCCAGCACTGCTATGAGCAATACACGGCCATCTTCCTGCACCACTTTTCCCACAGGCTCTACTTCCCCACACCGAGGCAGCAGCTCTGTCTACAAAGAATAGAGAGGCCCTTCAGCCCCAGCTCCTTCCCCACTTCCCCCTAGAGATAAGATCTGTACCCCATTACTCCTACCCTCAAGTGCAGGGGGAGGATAGGGCTAAGTAGGGGGTAGCAGGGGGTCAGCATGGGACTCACAAAAAAGCCACAGGAGGCCTTGACAGTAGGTGCCTCGGGGAACTTGAGGGCCAGCACAGCTGTGGAAGAGGCAGAGGCATATCAGATGGGGCCTAAGGATCCCCCCAAGAGGGCCCAGGCCCACCTGTCCATCTAGCCCCACTTACCACACTGGAACACAGCTTTGACATCCAATCGTTCACACAGGAACAAATCTGGCTTCCGCTTCAGAGCCTGCAGGAGGTGGAGCTGATAAGCCCAGCCCCAGCCAGCTCCAAGGACCATCCCCCCACTCACCTGCCACCCCATCCCCCAACCTCAACCCCAACCTCACGCACCACAGGTAGAGGCTGCCAAATTCAGCAACCCAGACATCTCTTGGGGACCCAGATCACCCCAGAGTTCAGCAGGTCAGAAGAGGAGCAACCAAGTGATATTATGTACATATATGTGCACATGGACGCACAGTGTATTTGAGAGAGGTTGGAGGCTCATGATGCAGAAAGCTTGGGTCCCAGGTCACTCCCTGAGCAAATACTTTCCCCTGTCCCCTCCATCAGGGCCAGACTTCCTGCAGGCTCCAGGTAGCCAGCAGTGACTTTACTTTGATTCACAGAAGTAGTTGAAGTCCCCGGATTTGTTAACAGGGCAGTTGGAAGAAGTGATGACAGCTGGATGTGGAGCCCAGTCCAACAGCCCCCCTTCATTTCCCGCTTGCATTCCTCAGATGCCCTCCAGCTCAGGAAGAGGGAAAGTAGGGTAGAAACCTTGGAACCACGACCCCATATCCAGTCCTTCTCAGTCACACCCCGCCCACAAGCCAGTGCTGCCATGGTGGGGGGTGTTAGGTGGAGTACAGGGGCAGACAGTCTACCCCAAGTGGTACCAGGACATGACTGGCACCTCCTCAGGTCACAGGAGATGCTCTACATGGCAGCCTCACACACTGCTGTTCCCCAGAAGCCTCCCAGCGCACACCACAGACCCAATCCCTCCAGCCCCTTATACAACTTCCACTTCCCCAAGTTCACTCAGGTATAAACACCCACATGCACTTCACTTCAAACACCCTTTTTACTCTCAAACACACCTCTACCACATCCCTTACACATACACTCCACATCAGCAATGCACCCTCACTGCATATTCACACCCCACACATCCCAAACCATGTCCACATACCCACAGCCTCATCCTCCCAAGTCCTCTAGCACATGTACTCTCCCAACACACCCACCCTCAAATACACACTCAAATGACCTCACCCCCCAAAGATACAACCCCCACACATCTATCCAAGCTCAGAATACACTCCGCATCTCCCACTCCTGCACCTCCCCACCTTACTACTAGAAGGTAAGTTCCAAGAGAGTAAGAACTGTACCTAGCACAGTTGCAAGCATATATTACACACTTAATACATATTTGTGGATTAAGCCAAGAAACATATTTACCTCAACTCACAGGATTCCCCCAACCCACATGAACCCCTTAATGCACAGAAACCCCCATCACACTAACCCCATGTTCCCAAAGCACAAAACACACGGCCCTCATATAGACATAGCTAAACACAGTATCCACTCCACCACTCCACAACACGCACTCCCACAGCCCACACACGCCTCCACACATGCTTATCAACACACCAGATGCCTGTCACACATCAGCATACAGCACAGCATGCATCAGTGCCCAACTTCAACTACACATGTATCCCAACGCCCAACATGGAACATACTACTTTGAGCGGCTACGTGATTTCTGTTCCCTTCCCAAACCAAGATCAAAGCATACAACACACACCAGACACAAACACATCCCGACACCTTGTCACAATGGAGCCAACACCCCACCTCCCACAGCACAGCGGCACAACCTGTCCGGCAGCCCGACTCAGGGCTCCACCGCAGCACATTCCTCTTCAGCCCTCCCTCTGGGGCCATCCCAGCCCACCTCTCAACAGCAGGCCGGGGGCACTGAAACAGGTCGTTCCCGGCAGGAGCACGGGGACAATGAACCCCAGGCTCTTCAACTCCAGTCCTACCCCCGAATTTC